GCAACAAAATTATGGCATTTGTAGCGATGTGGATGGACTTTGAGAGTTTCATACAGAGTGAAATAGGTCAGAAAGAGAAAAATGAATATCATATATTAACACATATATGTGGAATCTAGAAAAATGATAGAGATGATCTTACTTACAAAGCAGAAATAGAGACACAGATCTAGAGAACAACAGGGAAGAGAGGTGGGATAAATTGGGAGATTGGGATTTATACATGTACACTTTATACTATGTCAGAAATGGATAACTAATGAGAATGTACTGTGTGGCACAGAGAACTCTTGTTTAATGCACTGTAGTGACCAGAATGGAGAAGGCAATGGCAACCCACTCCAGTACTCTTGCCTGGAAAATCCCATGGACGGAGGAGCCTGGTAGGCTGCGGTCCATGGGGTCGCGAAGAGTCAGACAGGACTGAACGACTTCACTTTCACTTTTCACATTCAAGCATTGGAGAAGGAAATGGCAACCCACTCCAGTGTTCTTGCCTGGAGAATCCCAGGGACGGGGGAGCCTGGTGGGCTGCCGTCTATGGGGTCACACAGAGTTGGACACGACTGAAGCGAGTTAGCAGCAGCAGCAGCAGCAGTGACCAGAATGGTAAGGAAGTCCCAAAAGTGAGGGGTCATATGTATATGTATGGCTGTTTCATTGTGCTGCACAGTATAGATTATTATAATACAGCAATGTAAAGCAGCTATTTTTTGTTTGTTTTGTTCAGTTGCTCAGTCATGTCTTAGTGACCCCATGGACTATAGCACGCCAGCCTTCCCTGTCCTGCACCATCTCCCGGAGCTTACTCAAACTCATGTCCATTGAATTGGTGATGCCATCTGTCATCCTCTGTCATCCTCTTCTCCTCCTGCCTTCAGTCTTTCCCAGGATCAGGGTCTTTTCTGATGAGTCATTTCTTTGCATCAGGTGGCCAAAGTATTGGAGCTTTGGCTTCAGCATCAATCTTTCCAATGAATATTCAGGGTTGATTTCTTTTAGGATTGACTGGTTTGATCTCCTTGCAGTCCAAAGGGCTCTCAAGAGTCTTCTCCAGCACCACAGTTCAAAAGCATCAATTCTTCCACACTCAGTCTTCCTAATGGTCTAACTCTCACATCTATACATGACTACGGGAAAAACCATAGCTTTGACTAGACGGATCTTTGTTGGCAAAGTTAAACCACCTCCCACAGCATGAATGCTACAAATAAAAGAATAGTTGTTTAAAGTGAGCAGATTTTGGTCTCATTACCTTCTGCTTAGTTGGGGAGATCTGGGATGGGGCTTAAAGGGGTTTTGAAGTAGGAATGAAGTAGGAACAAAATTTGGATTTTGTTTAAAGGGTTAAACTGAGCCCTCAACTTTGGTAGATACCTTTGATTTGTTGTGTCACTGGTTGCCTCCACTGAGGTCACTGTGATTCATAAACAAAATAACCTCAGTCCAGAAGACCTCATCTGTTCTGTCAGTTGCCCTCTTCCATTGAAGGAATGCCAAGAGGAACACATAGAAATGAGCCAGCCACCTGGGACAAGGCTCAGGCCTTGCTCTGCCTTGGAGTTGCTGAATGAACTTGGAGAAACTACTTAAGGTCTTTGGAGTATAGTTTTTCAGTGAAATTGATGAATTAAACTAAATTAGCTCTAAAGCCCCCTTCTAGCTTTACAAGTCAGTAGGCGTAGCAATATCCTGTGTTCACTATTCTCAAGGAGATGATTACCTAAGTGTTCTGAAGCTGGTAAGTACTCTGTGACTTACTCATGATTTATTTCTAGAGAAAATGTATCCCAGGGGGCTGAAATAGAGAAAGATTGACTGAAACCCATTGATTCAATGCCTAAATGAAGCATTTTAGACATGTCTCTGAGACTGGGAGAATTTATTGATATGGATTAAGATCAACTGTCTTTCAAAGCAGCAGGTGCTGAAGCTGCATGCATGCCCTGACAAATGGCCTCACTCGCACTCCTGAGCCCTTCAGTTATGCCATTGAGTAGCCTCCAGGGAAATGCCCCCATTCCTCACCAGCATAACATGTCTCTCCCTACTTTCCATTAGCCCTAATGTCCAACAATCAATTGACTGACAGTTAAGTGTTTATCAAAAGGGACCTTAGAGGACTTAACCTCTCACCTCCTCAAAATCATCAATAGCCCTCCAAAATAAGCCAAAGAAACATAATATCTGTAAAAGCATTGTCCTTGACAGATGCAGTTTCAGGACACGTTCCCCAGTTTCTTTCTAACTACACTGCCAGCCCCAAAGCTTAACTGCCTTCTGGTCAGTTAAGCCATTCTGGAGCTTCTAAAGAGATTTAGTGCAGATCTACTCAGAGCCTGGGGATTGCACTGGTGGATTGGCCAGTTTCAACTACAGGACCCAACATCAAGTTCAGTGATTGGGGCAGCGAGTGTATGCTGAGTCATGGAGCTGAGAGTTTGGGACATCTTCTAAGCATCAGTCATCAGATCCTTAAGGTCCTACTGGTGTTACAGGGAGACAGCCATGGCAAAGAGAAGCAGCAGTAAACATATCCAGTCTTGTTGAGGCTTATGGACTCATGAACATTTAATATCAGTTCAGATTGGAAAATGGGCTCCCTGAGGACAGGGATCTTGTCTGTTTCACTCACTAATCTGGCTTCAGCATCTAAAAGAACCTAACACCTTCAGTGTTAACTCATGGAACGTACTTAGCAGTGTAGTTTGAATGTCTGATCATGAGGCCACATTGTGCAGTGGTGCACAGCACAGATTTTGGGGCCAGACCATTTTGTCCCAAATTCTAGCTCCACTGCTCACTGATTGAGAATGTGAGCAAGTGAGTAAACCATGTCTCAGTTTACCTATTTTAAATTGGGACTAATAATAATACACATCTTAAAGTTATGCAGGTTAAATGAATTGATGTTTATAACCAGTACCTGGCATGCACTGTAAATTTTTATTAAATAGCTAGATTAATCAGTTTACACTCTCCACTTCATTTTCCATCATTGACTTAGGTTTTGTTTTTGGAATTAAAGTTTGAGTGTATGAGAATACATGCTAACCAAACATGGGCCTGGGCCCAGATACACTTCTGCCTTAAGACCTCTGGCTGTACACCTTTCTATTTATGCAATGCTCTAAAGCATCTCTTTCCAATAATTCTGTTAAAGTGCTATTTGACTCACCCTTCTTGACTGAGAGTTCCTTCAAAGCAGACAACATCCTACAGGGCATGATTTAGACGGGTGCTTAGTAGTTTTGGAATGAATGTGTGATGTACTCAGTGAATGGTTGCCTTGTGATTATTTTACTCTTGGAGAAGGAATTACAGACTTCTGCCTCATCTCTCAGATTCGTCTCTACCTGTGTGCGGTCCATCAGTGTCATATATACATCCATAGTTCTAGTTACCCCATCCTCCCCACCCAGTTGTTTTCTTTAGCCCAGTCTCTGAGCATCAACTCTCCTCAGCCTCAAGAAAACCTTTTACTCTCCCCCAATATCTGTTCTCTCTTCCTTTATCTTTTCCACATGGCTTGCAAGCTTTGACATTTACATTAGCAATCTTGCTTTTGCCCCTCTCTAAGTCAGGTCAAATCCTTTTGATAAACTAGAAGAATTCTAAAACTAAAAGTGATAAACTTACTTGCTCACATTACCAGTCAGTGAGCAGTTAAGCTAAAAGAATTAGTTGTAAACAAACCATTGTTATTTTCCTTGGCAACCTTTTGTTTTTCCCATTCCCACCCATAAACACCTCAAGCCCCTCCATTGTTCACTAGAGACACTTCTTTCCCAATGGGTTAGCACATCTCAGAGATAGTATTTTTTTATTTTGCTCTTGCTTTGGTTTACATTCAAAGTTCTGCTGATCAGAGCTGTGATTTTTTTGCCATTTCTATCTGCATCTTATGTAAAGAGTGAGGAAGCAAAATAGATCAGGTGGTTTACCACCCTATTATCTCATACCAGTCTCCATCTTTGAAGTATTTCTGATCTGCTTAACTGGATAGAAGTGCTATATAGGAAATATTTCAACCAAGGTACAAGGCAATCTGTAAGATAAAACCATCTAATCTTAAACCATTGGCTCACAAACTCTGAATTGCTCTAAAACTTGCTTATGTGGGATCACACTGTACAAGTGTAGCTATGCATTTGGGTGTTCTTTTACTGGGTCATTCTGGAGTATTGCTATCCATGCTTCTCATATATTATAATCTCCATATGAATCAGGATCCTATCTTCTCCATCTGTGTATTTCCATGGTTCCCAGAATGGCTCTGCCTAGAGAGGACACTTGTCAAGCCCCGCCACTGGGCAGATGGGTACTGCCTCCTGCAGTGACCCGGTTCTGGGCGTTCTCTCGGTGCAGGAGCATGTCAGGAAGAACTGGAAGATTCCTAGTTGGCATTCCCTGTGGCTCCTCAGGTGCTCCTTGTGCCTCTGGGTAGCTTCACTAATGAAACTGACTTCCAGGGGCTAATTCTAAAGTCACAGATCCTGATTTTTCTTCTTATTCTAGGAGCCATTTTTCTTCTGTATCTTCAAGAGCTCCACCCCTCCCGGGAGTAATAGCAGTAGATTGGTTATGCTAAACACCCCACCTCGGGGTTTGATTTTGAATTTTTCACAGCGCCTCAGTCATTTGTATAGTCGAGATAGACTCATCTTGAAGCTTCACAGAGTCACTTAATTTTTTTTTAAATTCATAACTCTAGATAATTTGTACCTAAATTTCTAGTCTTCTCTTGGATTCCCAGGGAATACTCTGTCAAACAGAAAACTTGAATGCATGTCACTGTCTTTTCTTGCCTTTCCTCACCCCAAATGCTAATAATGTAGAGCTAAGAAGCACATATTGGAAGAGTGTTGATATTTTGTTTGCATATAAACTGTTTAACCACAAAGCTGATGTGAACAAGGCAGGTACACAAATAAAGATAGGAGAAATTCTAGGGATGTTCAGAGAATGTGACTCAGGCCATTCTTTTCTCATCCATGCAGTCTCTAGACCTGTGGCAAAGACATTATGTTTGGGACCTGCCCCTTCGGCCTCTCAGCTCTGCAACATCCCTTGCTCTACAGACTGTATAATGTCTTCCTGGTCGGCCTGGGGCCTGTGCGTCCATGAAAACTGCCGTGATCCTCAGGGGAGAAGAGGTGAGTGCCTTCTTTACATGTGCTCCATTTCCTTCCAGTGCACACAGGTTTATTCTGGTCACTGAAAAGCTCCTTAAGTTTGCTTAGCACAATGTTTGTCTATAAAATGTAGATAGCTAGCTCTGACAAGCACTCAGTTATTAAGGAGACATCATGGATACTTCTTTGGAGCACAGTATCCCACTTTAGTTGACCTTTTAATTAGGCTTATAACTAATAAAGTGATTATTATGCAAAAATGATGTAACTTAACTCTGCAAGACATTGGGTGCTGACCAAAACACCTAGAAGACATTTAGTTCACACCAAAATGTCCTTGATAGTTGCTCCTGTCCAAAACATCCATCAGCATACTTGGTCCATGTTGCCTAGGTTTGGTTGGGAATAAATTTCAAGGACCTTTTGCCTTGCACCAAATGTCTTATAGATATTTTGGACCAAAGCAGATATTTGCTAACTATAATGTAATGTTTTTAACATGTAATGTTTATACTGTAGAAATTAGACATGGTTTCTGTAATCACATCAAGAGGCAACTGTTTTGTATATATTTTTTTATTTTTAGATTTCCAAAGGCTGAATCACATGCTCAACTTGATGTTATGGTTCAAATTTTCATGAAGGGCACTTGTTGTTGTTTCCTTTTTTGATGTTGTCCTCAAGCTTAAACAAAATCTTCAAACTTTGTGTCCTTCTTTAAATGTGTAGGTCTCAGCAATCTTGTTTTCTTTTGTTTGCTGTTATGTACACATCTGCATCTTCAAACATTCATCTTTGGTGACATCTTTTATTGACCTTTCAGTTTGTATTGATATCATGCTCTCTTCAATGGCAGTGCTAGAAAGAAATAATACCTTTAGTAAGAGAAATGAGATCCAAGGGCATTCTACAAGTTTGGTTGTACTTAGCACTAGTGTGTTAAGCACTAATTCCTCCAGTTTTCATATGCAAAGAAAGACTAATGTGGCCAAGTGCATGATGCTACAAGACTGGTGCCATCAGCTTAATTCTATGTCCATTTGAAAACCCACGTTTCAGCACTCCCCAAAGGGCTCACAGGCACACATGGGCATATCTAGGAAAATGGGGAGATATTGATTAAAGGGTACCAACTTCCAGTTATAAGATAAGTACTATTTGAAGATTTAATGTCCAGTATGGTTTACTGTAGTTAACAGCAGTATATTATGTACTTACATTCCTAAGTGAGTAAATCTTAAAAATACTCACCACACATAAACACGTAAGGAAGTTTTTATTTTAATAGATAATAAAATAGAAAGAAGTATCTTCCTTACTAATTTCAGGAAGAGTGCTGGAGTTGAATCTCATTGGCTGCTATGTGTCACATGCTCCCCTCTGACCCAGATACTCTGACTGCAGGATGCAGGACTGACCCCGCCAGGTCCTGAGCCTGTGGTCACCACTGCAGGAATAACTCCATCCAAGTTTCACAGACAGAGTGGGGGAGGGCAACTCCCTTAAGGAAATTTGAGGTCCTGATACTGCAAGAGGGTAGAGCCAATACAGGGGTCAAGCTTAACAGATATTTGTTAACTGCTTTCTGCCTTTTGTTCTGGCCCATAGAGTCTCTGTAACAATTCAGAAAATACTACTCTTTCCAATTCTATGTTGCTATTTTGGTCACTTGAGCCAAATTTTCATAAAACCCTTTGCAACAAACCACACTTTCAACCTTTATTTCAGTTTTCCTCTTCCACATAACTCAGAACAGGTCCATGGAACTCATCTGGGGAACTCAAAATATTCCGGCTCTTTCTTTCATTCACCCCATTTGCCCAAGATGTTTTTATGCCAGACATCTTCAGCGTTGGCTTCTATCCCTCTCTTGTATAAGTCAACTCTGACAAAGGCACTGTGGTGCACTGTTCATCGGACATCACCTGTTGTAGTTAAATTGTGTTCTCCAGAAAGATATATTCAGTACCAACCCCTGGGGTGTGTGAACATGCCCTTATTTAGAAATAGGGTTATTGGAGAACTAATCAGGTTGAGATGAGGTCATATTAGATTAGGGTAGGCCTTAATGCACTCAGAAGGGAGTACCTTGTAAAGATAAAAAGACACTGAAGATGCAAAGAGAAGGCCACATGAAGACAGAGACAGACATTAGAGTCAGGCCTGTACCAGCCAAGGATTTCTGGCAATTACTAGAAGCTAGGAGAGAGGTGCGAAAACAGTCTTTTCCTGGAGCATGGCTTCAGTCCTTCCCTTCAGAGGGAGCATGGCTCAACTGACACCTGGATTTGGGGCTTCTAGTCTCCAGAACTATCAGGCAAATTGATGTTGTTTTATGTTATTCAGTTTATGATATTTTATTTTGGTCATCCTAGGCAACTTTCATACTTCCCAACTTTGTGTCAGCATTTAGGCTCAGCAAGGATCCAGCACTTCCTAAAATGCCAAGACCAAAGTATACAGAAGTAAAGAAATTATCCTAAGTCCTATAGTGACTTAATAATGGCCAAGCCAAGGCTAGCATGCTCAGTCCAGTGTTCCTTCCAACCCTAGTTTCCTTAGTGATTTTTCTCATAAGTCCAAAGAAGTTTGGATCAAGACAGAAGTCCAACACTGAGCTTAGCAGAGACGCCCTCTGCCCGTGGGTCCCACATTGGCCAGTGGGGACCACTGGCTAGGGGTGTGAATCACTGTGCTGATGAAGGAGATACGGCGTGAGGCATGAGATTCAGTTTAGCTTCCGTGTGTCATCTTCAGAGAGGAAAAGTAGATTGTATGATAAGGGGAGGGTGTTCCAAGAATAGCTTGAGAGCACCAGGTAACTGGGATGTGTGTTTTTTGCCTTCATCAATGTACTTTTCAAAGAAAAGCTCAGCCTTTGGGACTGAAGGTAAGCACAGAGACAGAAAAACTTCTTACCTGAAGGTAGGCGTGTTATCAGCCACCTGCAGAGTATGGAGGCATGTTGGAGCTGATGAGAATTACTGAAGCTAAGGGACCTGCCCTAGGAACTAAATAATCATAGCCAGGAGAGAGTATAAGCTTCGGTGATTGTTATTCGGGTCTCAGAGTGTGCTCTTTCATAAATGTTTCACCAGAGCAGAGATAATTTTGATTTTTAAGATTGTGCTAAAACCTTCCAGGACCACCTGCCTATCATCCCTCCTGGGAAGAAGAGCAAATAGAGTTTTCCCTCCAGGGAAATGATTCTCTGCCTAAAAGGAATCCAAGCATGTTTTGATAAGGCTAAGTTATCTTGTTATTTCTACCAAGTCATCGTGAGCATGAGTTCTGGGATCCTCTCAATTTCAGCATGTCCCATGATCCTGCCACGGTTTCTGCCAGAGTCTCTGATAGGCACACACTAAATGTAGTTGAGAATTCCACAGAGGCTGGAATACAGAGCTAATGCATTAAACATGACACAACTCTAGGATGTAAACTGATCTGCTTAGTTTCATATTTGAATTGCCTACCCCAAAGAAATGCAGTGCACCTATTCATGGCAATCTGGGATAGTCATACTTCCTTAGATATTTTATACTCCTTTTTTGTGTGGATGATGGAGAATTTGAGGAGAAAAAACAACCACACCCACCAGTGCAAGACATAAAAGTGTAATTTATGTGGTGGTTATGACTTTTTCTTCTCACTTGTCTTTTTTCCAATCACGTGTTATTGCTTTGGTTTGTTTCTGGTGTTCACATTAAAAAAAAAAGTAAAGGATGGGAAAGCAGGAAATGATGTATTATCTAATAGAAGAAATTAGTTATTATAGAGATTATCTTCATGTGACTTATTCTTAGGCAGACATCCTTCAGTCAGGAATCATCTGAGGTTTGTGGCTGTCAGCTGTTCAGAGTACATTAGAAAACCTGCCGTTGTACACAGCCTTCATGCCTTCCATCAGCTCTGTGACAGGCAGACAAGGGGAACATGTTGCTTGGCAGGCCAGTGCTTGTCAAGTGAAGCTAGAATGACTTTCAGAGGAATTTAAATTGGATCAGGTTTATCATTCATTCCTTTATCTTTGATATTCTCCCAGAGAGTTATAATTAGAGATATATGAAAGAGAAATAACCTGAAAAACTTGCTGATGGGTGAACTCCATAGGTATAATGCATTTTTAAAAATTATTTTTGATACATAGACATATAGTTATTTGACATCCTTGTCCTTTTACAGACACATTCTAGAAAGGCAACCTTGTGCACAGAAGTTTTTGTAAAGAGGAATTTGATGGAGGCTTCTTAATATGGTCATACAATAGGGAATGCTTATGAGGTAGGACTTCAGAGAATCCTAAAGTATCCCTTACTCCCCACCCCTATTATAACACCTTGCTGTTTTTCAGTTGCTAAGTCATGTCTGATTCTTTGTGACTATGTGGACTGCAAGACCCCAGGCACCTCCCAAAATTTGCCCAAATTCATGTCCATTGAATCGGTGATGCCATCCAACCATTTCATCCTCTGTTGCCCCCTTCTCCTTTTGCCTTTTCAGTCTTTCCTAGCATCAGGGTCTTCTCCAATGAGTTAGGTCTTTGCATCAGGTGGCCAAAGTGTTGGAGCTTCAGGATCAGTCTTTCCAATGAATATTCAGGGTTGATTTTCTTTAGGATTGACTGGCACTTAATGGTCTAAAAATCCCCATAGGAAAAGACACTGTGAAACAGAACCTGTGACCATCTTTTTGAATGTAGTCTTTTATGCTCTCAGACAAATCAATTTAGGTAATATGCTAATGTAGGGAAATGCTGACATGTTTTAGATCTTATCTAATGATGGAAAAAAATATTTCCATTTCCATCTGTGCCTTCTAGAAAGTTCCACCATTATGAGAAGTCTTTGAAATAATTTTGCTTTGTCACAGATTATGTGTAAGATATATATATATATATTTTTTTTCTTTTTCCTTTTTTCTGTTTGTGTGTGTTGGAGCTTGTAGGGGGCTATGGCTGTTTCTCATTCTGAACATTGAGGGTTCTCATGCTCATGATCTTTGGCTTCTTATTTTCTGTA